TGTTTACTAGAGTGGAATCTTATGAGTCATGAGGAAACTGCTGAAAATTTAAAATAATGTTTTGGCTTCCTGATGTCTTCTTCAAAAAAAAAGAAAGAGGGAAATGTAGGTGATGGGGCTGTTTTCTTTCTCATGCATAGTAATGGCTTTGCCAAGATTTCATTGCTGCTTCACTTTTATTTAGAGGAAGGTAGATAACTGAATTAATAACGTGTATTTATTCAAAAGATTACAAGTGGCATCTCTGTCCTGTATCGTGCAGTGAAGAACGACTGTTTGATTTATCGGAAGTGAAAACAAAGCCACAGCCACTTCCTTTTTTTGTGGGGTTATGTTTGGGATGGGATGGTGTAGAACACTAGAGAGCAAAATATTTATTCAAAAAATAAAATGAAAACATTATACAGGTAGTCCCAGTTTAAGAACAAGTTCTGTTCCCAAGGTCTGTCCTTAAGCCGGAACTGTATTATTGTATAATAAGTATTATTGTATAAGTAGTATTGTGTAATGAACTTGAACCATTGTGGATTTAGCTCAAATCATTATGTATTTAACTCGAATTTTGCTACAATAGGCTCCGTTCTTAACTATGGGTCGTCTGTAATCCAGGCATTCTCAGCCTGGGGACAACCTCTAATGAACTGGATAAGAGAAGAAGTGCATGAAAGAACATGAACAATGTTCTTGATTCTGTTTTCTTCTTTATATATAGCAGAATTAATATCTTAAGTTCAAATTAATTAACACATGTAAAATGGTAAAATACCACTCTCCTCCCTGCACTAGTCTGTTAAATCAAAGGTTTCCTGTATTAATATAACATTTAATAATTAGGAGATTTTATAACATTCAAAAAAATTTTTACTTGTTTGCATCAATTTCCTGCATGTTTTCAGACATTAATCTTTCTGTGATCATACATGATATACCACCTCAACCTTTTTCTACAGCAGTGAGCTTTTTCTATAGTCTAGATCCTATAGTTCTCTCTGTTGGAAATTTTAATCAGCAAATGAATCAACAAACAATAGTAAATATGGAATTTCTGATGTTTTTATTCAAAATAACATGGCTTTTCCTCTTGTTTCAATAACTACACTATTTATTTATTTATTTATTATTTGCAGTGCCAGACCAAGTCAAAATTTAAAAAACAGGACACCAGTAATACATATATAAGTAACTATATATAGTACATACATATTTAAAAGGGAGAAGCCCTATGAGTTTAACATTGCATAGACGGAACCAAACAATTTCTATAAGCTAAAGCTATAAATAAAAAACTTGGTAGTGCCTTCAAAACACCTGGGTATTGGTCATTTAATAAGAATACCTCAATCTCCTCATTATGAGTGGAGTTTATCAGACTAAAGAGTGGCTGTATAGGCTCTGATTGCCAGGGCATATACAGGGGGCACTTTAAAAGGATGCGTGAAACAGACTCAACCTCGGTATTCAAGCAGATACATACCTGATCTTTTTATGGAAGGTTGGCATATCAATCAGCTGTCTCCCTACTAGGAAGAGCATCTATACAGGCCAGGGAGAAGAGCCTTCTATTTGCGGTGTACAGAATCTTATAAAAGTAATCAGAGAGTGTTCAGGGGGAGAAAGCAATTTGTCTATATGAGGGATGGGAAAGTTTGGCTCTGTCCACCTGAATGTCCTGAATGTCTAAGTCCCATATGTTCTGCTTAAGTTCTACCAGGGCTTTTTCTAGGCCTAAAGCAAGTAGGGCTAGTATTGGCAGTCCACACTGTCTCATTTTCAGAGTAGATTGATGTATATCCTATAGAATGAAATGTACCAATGAAATTACCCAAATGATTTGTTTCACCCAGAATCTTAGACAACATAATCTTGCCAGGGCCTCAAATGAGATGCAGTTATATGAGGCCGAATGGACATATAAGCTGGCCCTTTCTGCATCCCAGTTCTTCAGTGTCCCCTAAACTGTCCTCCTATGGCAGTTTCTATTGTCTTTGAGTAGTTATAATGAAACAGTTTCTGCTTTTCAAAGTCTCATTAGCATTGCCCAAAAGGATATCCAGCCTGCTGCTCTACTGTCTGTGCATCGACTAGTTAGGAGACATAAACCATGGTTCAATAAAGGTGTTTTGGTTAAAACCCAGGTAATGCAGGCATACAAGAGAGCACATTGAGCCAATGATCTCTACTCCTGTGAAATCTTTTATGAGCATAAAAGGAGATACAAGAAGCTATTAAAAAATATATATATATGCCAGGAATTTTGGGCAGAGATCCAGCAGGCCGTAACAAACAAAAATCATAGGATATTTTGGTTTCTAGTATCAATCTTCAGTTAACACAAAACCAAAAAGCAATTCAATCTCCCTTGATACTTGGTAAAGGCATTTTCAAAGTGTGTTTTCACCTACTCAGGGTTGTATCTCAAACTCTGTGTGTTAGAGGACCCTATTCTAGAATAACCCCCAGTAACTCTTGTGGAAATACAAAAACTAATTGTGTGACAAAAATAATAAAGTTCCTGGTTCAGATTTCATTCCCTTGGAATTCTTAAATACATCATGGTGGGTTTCAGTGTTAGTCCCTCTTTTCCCTGTTATAAATTCTTCTATGGTAATTCCTGAGAGCCAGTTTGGTGTAGTGGTTAAGGCACCAGGCAAAAACTGGGAGATTGTGAGTTCTAGTCCTACCTGAGGCACAAAGCCAACTAGGTGACCTTGGGCCAATTGCTTTGTCTCAGCACTAGGAAGCAGGCAATGGCAAACCGCTTCCAAAATCTTGCCAAGGAAACTGCAGGGATTTGGCCAGGCAGTCACCAGAGTCAAAAATTGACTTGAAGGCACATGTGCGCGCACACACACACACACACAGTTCCTAAAAACTGGCTCAATTCCATCACTCTCCCAATATATACAGTGGGGCAAAAAAGTATTTAGTCAGCCACCAATTGTGCAAGTTCTCCCACTTAAAAAGATGAGAGAGGCCTGTAATTATACCTCAACTATGAGAGACAAAATGGGGAAAAAAAGCCAGAAAATCACATTGTCTGATTTTTAAAGAATTTATTTGCAAATCATGGTGGAAAATAAATATTTGGTCACCATAGCAAGATGTCTGGCCCTCACAGACCTGTAACTACTTCTTTAAGAGGCTCCTTTGTCCTCCACTCGTTACCTATAGTAATGGCACCTGTTTGACCTTGTTATCAGTATAAAAGACACCTGTCCACAACCTCAAACAGTCACACTCCAAACTCCACTATGGCCAAGACCAAAGAGCTGTCGAAGGACACCAGAAACAAAATTGTAGACCTGCACCAGGCTGGGAAGACTGAATCTGCAATAGGCAAGCAGCTTGGTGTGAAGAAATCAACTGTGGGAGCAATAATTAGAAAATGGAAGACATACAAGACCACTGATAATCTCCCTTGATTTTATTTGCAAATCATGGTGGAAAATAAATATTTGGTCACCATAGCAAGATGTCTGGCCCTCAAGGGAGATTATCAGTGGTCTTGTATGTCTTCCATTTTCTAATTATTGCTCCCACAGTTGATTTCTTCACACCAAGCTGCTTGCCTATTGCAGATTCAGTCTTCCCAGCCTGGTGCAGGTCTACAATTTTGTTTCTGGTGTCCTTCGACAGCTCTTTGGTCTTGGCCATAGTGGAGTTTGGAGTGTGACTGTTTGAGGTTGTGGACAGGTGTCTTTTATACTGATAACAAGGTCAAACAGGTGCCATTACTATAGGTAACGAGTGGAGGACAAAGGAGCCTCTTAAAGAAGTAGTTACAGGTCTGTGAGGGCCAGACATCTTGCTATCTCTTTGGTCTTGGCCATAGTGGAGTT